CTTTTAAAAATCCCAAAAATGTGAAAGCACAAACAGAAAAAATTTTTCAGTTGAACTTAAAACACTGTGATTTGATTGGATGTCTAAAATGGGATATATCCTAAGGAATAAAACAAACTTTGAGAAACTTTTCAATTGTTATCATTACTAATACTATTATTCTGAATACATATATTTATTATATACATATATATATATATTATATATATACATCATAGAGGAAAGAAATATTTAAGCTAAAGCTCAAAGAATCAAAATTCTTAGCTCTAAGTGAAGAAATGCAAATTCAGGTATGAAACCCTTTAATCCAAACCTAGATTATTAATATGAATTCTCCTTCTATTTTCTTTTCAAAAATAAGGCAAGAAAAAACACTGTATTTTTTTCTCCAGGAAGACCTAGAAACAATGATCCATCAGTAGCACTGAGCACTGTCAGCACCCAGATAATGATTTTTAAATAATATTGCTACCACAGAAACGTTAGACTTCAAAAAATGGCTGACTCAAATCTGAAGCAAGAAATGTACTGGATGAGTCTGAAACACCCTGTCATATTAGAAAGCAAGGAAGCCATAAAAGAATGAAAGTGTTTCTGAGGATTTAGTTCAGTGGTTCCACCGCCTGTCTCACAAGCACAAGGTCCTGAGTTCAATCTCCAGTACAAAACAAAACAATGACAGTGTTGTATCAAAAAGTCTTAGTAGATAGCTCAATAGTCGAAGAAAGGTTAGTTGAACACAGTTAAGAATAACTGCAGGGGACTAAAGCATCAACTTGTTAAAAATCTATTCTTCACAATGCTTTTAAAATTTTTGGGCTGGGGATATAGCTCAGAGGTAGAGCACTTGACTAACCAGGTCAAGCACATGGGTTAATCCCAGCACAGCAAAAAGTAAAAAAATAAAAAGAAGTCACACTATTTTTATTTGAAGGGTACCATAAAATCAACACACTATTGTGAAAGCTAGTAAATGGTAGTAAGGAAACAAATCAAACATTCAATATACCTTCATCTCAAAATATCATGCTTTTTAATTAAGGTATTAACGGAACATTTTTTAAAACATACCTTGTATCTTTTCAATTTTTGTATTTCTTCTTCAATAAGCATCTGGTTTTTGGCAACTTCTGACTGAATAGCACTTAACATATTACCCTGATCTGTATCCATAGGTTCCTCCTTAGAGGGAAGAAAAAGAAATACCACACCCTAATGATTGAAGCTTATGTCCAAAATATTTTTAAGTGATTAACATAGTTAATTTTTCAAATTTCTACTTGTAACGTTGGTAACAGAATATCAAGCCTAAAAACAGCAATATTAATAGTACTTAAACAGTTAGTACCTTCCATTGTTCTATGTTTCTGTAATAACATGTCTGAATTTTTATCTAAAAAAAAAAAACCTATATTGTGGGCTGGGGATTTAGCTCCGCGGTTCCGTGGCCTGCCTTGCAAGCGCAAGGACCCGAGTTCAATCCCCATACCAAATTAATTAATTAATTAATTAAAATTTAAAAATTTAAAAACCTATATTGTATTATATTATGTTGCTATAATCTTCTACTAAGCTATAAGATAAATTTGCCTACATATACTTTTAAGAAAATGTGACCAAATTGAGAGGGTGGAATAGGAAGAAAATGGCTAAAGGGGAAGTGGGAAGAGGAGGGGTAAGGAAATAAAGGAAAAGAAAAAAATGTGAAAAAATGAAAAAATGGAAACAAAGTCTTTGTAAATAGGGAAGAGAGAAGGGGATAAAGGGAGGACAGGGGTATGGGGAAAAAACAAGAACCAAGACATACCATGTAAAGGTACAAGATCTCGATGATGAATGTATCTATATTGTTTGCTTTAAATGTACCAATAAACTTAATGGAAAAAAAAAATGTGACCAAAGAATCATTAGATATCTGTCCACTAGAAATTCTTTTCTAATAATATTTACTCCATAAAGATAATCATAAAGACAAGTAAAGATCGTATGTGAAGTTTCTCTGGTGTAAAAAACTAAAAGTGTAAATAAGGATCAGAATGTATAATTGATATTGTGAAATGGGAAGAAAACATCTAAAGGAGTAGGGGAAGTGGGAGGGATAGAGGAAAGGAAAGAAGAGAAAAGAAAAAATATAAGAAATGGAAAAACATGGAAACAAAGTCTTTGAAAATAGGGAAGGGTAGAGGGGGTAAAGGGAGCACAGGGGAATGGGGAAAAATTAAGAACCAAGATCTGTCATGTAAAGGTACAAGACCCTAATAATGAATGTAACTGTATTGTATACCTATAATGTTACTACTAAACTTAATGAAAAAAAAAGAGATTGTGAGTGAACCTAAATGTATCCAATTAAATCACTAAGAAATATATTCTAACTTGTTTAATTATATAATAGTTAAAATAGTTCATGCTAGCACTTATTTTGCATTTCTGATTTATGATTTAAGTGTCACATTTAATACTCACAACAACCTTATAAGGTAAACACTATTAAATATTACCCTATGCTACATGAAGAAATTGAGAAATCCACTAAGTAGCAAAAAGAACTAAAGGGCTGAGGATTTAGCTCAGTGGAGCCAGAGATTTAGCTCAGTGGTTCTGCCACCTGCCTCACAAGGGCAAGGTCCTGAGTTCAATCCCCAGTACTAAAAAAAAAAAGAAAAAAGAAAAATAAATACTTTCCTGAGAGAATAACTAAACTAAAAACTTATTTTAAAATATGGCCACAAACCTCTGCAAGTTGTCTTTGTAACTCTGCTATCTTCTGTTCATATATCATTTTTCTGTCAGACACAATCGCCATTAAGTTAAATCGAATTTCACCTTCACTGTACCTAGAAAAAAGTGATTATAAAATTTATAATGTAACAGAATGGTAAACCCAATATTGCTATTAAGATAATCCACTGTGATTACTCCATAATTCTTTGCAGTAAACACAAACCCATAAATTGGCTCACATAAAAAATTGACATTTTTAAAAGCTTTTGTATAGGGAAGATACTAATTATTCAAAAAAAAATTAAAACTGGTCCTATAGTCTCAAGTACTACTTAGGAGGCTACAGGAGAATCATGGAGTTGGAGGCCAACGTGAACAACATAGCTGTAGCTAGACACATCTCAAAACAAAAAGGGCTAAATTTCATCAATATTTTTAAATGATAGTTCCACTTAAAACATTTGAAATATTAAATTTGAAATAAGATTTTCTTCATTTTTCCAAACTCCCTAAGAAATATAAAAAGAATTAAAATAATATCTACTGTTGATATATTAATTATATTGGCAACTTGGTGATAACCAGTCCTTATTATACAATTAAAATAACATTCATGATGCAATTTCTATATTTAATTAATATATTTAAAATTTTAATCTTATATATAAACATGTAAAATACTTATTAATAGTATATTAATACAATGTATAAGTATATCCTATAGTAAGACATTTGAATGCAGTTTGATTTTTCACTATTTAATACCAGTGAAACATCTCATAGCATAAGCTGGTTTATGGTGGGAACTGATATTTAAAAAATTATTCATAACATGTAAATGATACTTATTCCTCACATCAAGTACAGCTTAAAATTCTAGACCTTCTGGACATAATATATTACAAGGAGAAACGGAGGCAGAGATACCAACACAGAGAGAGAATATGAAAAGTGGTATCAGCGGAAGCACTGTTGGGAGCCAGAACTCTCACCACTGCTATAGTAACAGGGAACTCCTTTCCTCCTCAAGTATCAAGAGAAGACAAGTAGGAAACCCGGGTTTCAACTTCTACCTTATTAATAATGAGTAATGAGGTGGTACTCCCAAATTACTCTACCAAAAACGTATTTATTAAAACCAGTTAAAACAGAACATTTAAATATTTAATCCCAAAAATGCTCAGGTTTTGGCCAACAACCACTCATCATATGTAAAAATTATACAAATCTCAACCTGAATAAAAAAAAGACATGGGATAATGAACAGAATTATCTGATAAAGGTTTTAAAAAGTTATTATGAAAATGATTCAATGAGCAATTATGAACCATAGGAACAAGCAAAAAGTCAGTCTCAGCAAAAAAATAGAAGATATGAGAGGAATCCAGAATGAAATTTTACAACTGATATATACAATAACCAAACTAAAACAACTCAATAGATAATTTCAACAACATAATGGAGGGGACAGAGGAAAGAATCAGTGAACTAGATGACAGAGCAATAGAAATTACCCAGTCTGAACAAAGAAAATAGACTGACTGAAAAGAATTAATAGAGTCTCAGGAATCTATGGAACTAAACAAAAAAATCTAACATTTAAGTCCTTGGAATACTAGAAAGGGAGGAGAAAGAGGGTAAAGTTGTAAAGTATTCCGACATATAGTGGCTGAAAACTTCCCAGATTTGATGGGAACAAACCCTATGCAAAATGAACCTAAAGAAATTCACACCAAGGGGCCAGGGATTTAGCTTAGTGGTTTGGCCACACGTGCAAGGTCCCAAGTTCAATCTCTGGTATCAAACAAAAAACAAAAACAAAAACACAAAACACACAAAAGAAATTCATACCAAGAAAGGTCAAAGTCAATTTTCTGAAAATTAAAGATGAAAAAAATCCTAAAAGCTGAAGAGAGAAATACCATACCTACAGAGGAATGACACTGGATAAAACATCAGAAATCACAGAGGGCAAAAATTTTAATATCCTGGCAGTGATATTAAATGATAGTTTTGTAAGATGGCACCGTTTTAAGGTAAAGAATACACATAACCTCTCTGTAGTAATTACAACTGAATGTGAGTATATAATTATTTTAAAATAAAAAAGTTAATTTAATGTTTTAAGAATCCTCAAAAACAAAACCAAACTAAAAAATATTCATAAAAATATATGGCAGTAGAAAGTATCCCACTTAATGCATCAGCATATCTAACGTCTCTAAAACTAGGATGTTATATTCCTACATAAAATGCAGTGATTTTTCTGAAACAGATTTACTGAATGCATTAATCTAATGAAAAGTAGGTATCTGATACATACTGCTAAAACAGTAACAACAATGAAAAATCAAGCTAAAAAATACTACCAACAACAATTACAACTATGTCAATGAATGGCTGAGTATTTACTTTTGTATTCTTTTTTCTATGACTGGCCTTACTGCATTAATCCAGTCATCTTGATTGCACGCACCTAGAAAGAAATTTTAAATGTTAAAACAAAAATAAGAAAAATCAACATTAACATCCTCTCTAAAGTGTGATCTAATATATTCCTTTTTATAAATACTTTAACAAATACAAGATAGTATGAATCTTTTTAGAATAATTATGTCAAGCTTAAATTCTTATTTTCTTGGTAATGATTAGGAGAATGATAATAATTTGCATTATATTATCAAGTCACTTGTAAATACTAAGACAATATTTAAAGTAATAAATTAGGAAGCTATCTCACTTAAACTGACAACCCTTGAGATAAGGATAAAACTGAAGACTTAGAAAAACAGCTTATGTATTAATTCAATCCTTATTTATTCAGTATTGTCTGTCTCTCCACAATCATAACTATAAAATAAAAACTGAAATCCACTCATAATACAAGATCAATTTTACTCAAATATTTTAACTTTATTTTTATTATAAATTGTAGCATAGCCACTAGGTGTACAGTAAAACTAGCTATTGTATTTTTTACTTCCTTTATGCTTGATGATTCAAATGAATAAACAGCTGAGCTGACAGAAGTCAACAGAGACATGCAGCTATCACATCAACTACCAGATTAGGGAAAAGCAGCTTCTACAGAACTAAAGACATTCCATTAACTTTTTAAAAACGAATATGGAAAAATAAGTACTTTTAAATATAGAAATAGCATGTAAAGCTGTATTAGATAAACTATTAGCTCTATATATGGGGTATGAGCAAAAAGTACGAACAAAATTAAACTGTTACCTTTTTTTTTGGTGTGTGGTGCCAGGGATCAAACACAAGGTCCCATATGTGCTAGACAAGCACTCGACCACTGAGCTATTTCCCAGCTCTAAATTTTTTATATATATAAAAGGATAAAGTTTTATGAACCGTATATAGCATCATATTCAACAAAAATTTTGTTGGACTTCAACATAATTTTTAAAAAGAAAATTTAATGAGGTCAGAATAAGGAGTTAAAATGCTTTGGGCGGGGCTGGGGATCTAGCTCAGTGGTGCTGCCACCTGCCTCACAAGCATAAGGGCTCGAGTTCAATCCTCGGTATCAAAAAAAAAAAAA